CCTAAAATATACTACCTTTTGACCTCATTACCTTCTCCAAAACCTAATTAGTTTCCTTTATTTCTATAAGCATCTACAATTCTGACCTCCCCCTTAATAAAATGTAGAACTCTTATATAATTACATTAATCCTAAAAATCTCCATAAATTTCACAGAATAACCATATGGCTTCTCAAAAGAATTTCAAGAACCCATAACCTATAATGCCTCTTCTCTCCACTTCCCCACTAACCTTAGATTTGCCCCAATCCACCCCTCTTAAATTGTTGCTATACCATCACCTTAATCCCCTTAGCCAGCTCATTTTAACCCTCCACCAATTTAAGTTCACTTAGATTGGATTAATTTAGCCTAATTAAGTTGGTCTGATAAGGCTAAGTTATGTTGAACTTAGGTTTGGTCAATTGGAATCAAGTGGGCCCCATTAAGCTTTTCTTAGATACGTATGAGGTTTAGTGATACTAGGTAAGCTTAGGTCTCCATATCTCAGTCATAAATAAGTTCAAATTGAAGGTTTTAACTATGGTTCATCAAGTGACTATACGTGTTAGGTTGATTATGGCTAAGCTTCTTGGGTCATGGTGGATTCCCAAGTCTCTGGGTAGCCATACTAGGGTTCATGGAATCCTAATGGGGTGATTTGAGACTCCCGAAATGACTTAGCTTATTCTAAGTCAAATAAATTTATCTAAGGTTTGATCATGTGCTAAATAGGTTAGTTTATGTCTCCTTAGGGATCACTATACCAAAATAGGTTGGCCTAATTAAAATACATGGTGTGTCTGCTCCTAGTATACATGTACTAGGGTGCAATAGGTCAAGGTGCAAAGATGAAGTGGTTAAGTTGTCAACATTATCAAATCAAAAGGCTAGGTTGAAATTGATAGAATACTCATTGTATTAGAGTGTACTTGACGCAACATAGAAGAGTTAATGCAATGGATAGGATGATCCAAGTTACTTTGGTGTTTATGCTATATTAACTGGGTTAAGGCATAAATAAGGTATAGCTTAAATATCTTGAGAAAACAAATCCTAAGTTTAACTAAGGGTAAGTATTTAGTATACCATGTCAAATAATGTTAAACTAGCTAGATTACCATTGATATTAAGGAATATTTGGCTTTGCTCAACAAGGAGATTTGCAAAGTCAAATTGAATATATTACACAAATTAAGGTGTATTTTATTTAACCAAAAAAGAGATAGAGATTTAAGATTTTGTAGTTATACTAATATCAATGCACACTAAATGTACTAAAGTGAGACTAATAATGATGATTATGATAATTAATTTATGTTTTTGATATTTTCCTATGAGTTAAATATGTAATGTATGATTTAGTTAATATGAAAAGTAACTTTCCATGAAGCATGTTGTCATGCAAGTCATGATTTCATGGCATTGCAAGGGATGTGATATGCTTGTTTTGTGAATATGTGATAAAAAAAGAGTTTTGCATATATGCATTATATTGGGAAGGAAGGCAATAACGATTCATGCTATCATGAAAGGTTTACATTTAATTAGTAAGATGGATGATGATTGAAACAACCTAAATGAGATTGATAGACTCATGATTGGACTATGGTCATACCCAATGAAGACTATCTCATAGTTGGGCTTAAAAACTTGGGCATTATTGAAAATGATTAACTTATAGTTGGATTATAATCTATCAAGGAAAGGTGATAACTTTAATATGATGATAAAAATTAAATGCCACATTCATAATTTTTTTAAGACTAACTTATGTATGTATAATGGATAGCCTATATTATTATCTTTTATATTTATGATTGATTATCATGAACCATGCATATTGATTCCACTTTTATTAAGTGTTGCTTATGTTAGACTTATTGTTATCAACATCTTCAACCTTATCAACTCATATGTCAAGGCTAAAATGGATAGGATACTCAATATATGAAGTATATTAGGCTTAACTTAGTAGAGATAATGCCATGAATAGGATCACCCAAGTTAATTTAATGTACATGCTAAATTAACTAGATCAAGGCATAGATAAGGTATAGCTCAAATATTTGAGCAAAATAAAATAGATTCCAAGTATAACTAGGGTGAGTGCTTAATAGACTAAGCAAACAAGGCTAGGCTAAGTATAATATCTTTGGTATTGATGAAGATTTGGCTATGCAATGCAAGAAGATTTGCAATATCAAATAAAATAGAGTATTCAAGGTACTAAGATATATTTGATGTATCCTAGTAAGAGATAAAAGTTTAAGATTAAGTAAAAAAATACTCTCAATGCATATCAAATGTACTAAAAGTGATTTCAACAATTACGAGTATGATAACCAATTAATGATTTCATGTATTCTTAGGCATTACACATGAAATGCATATTTATGTTACCTTGTGCAAGTGATAATTTTAACCTATATGTATGATATTGAAAAGGAATGCTAGAATAATTATATGGCACCATAAAATGTTAACATGTAAGTAAGAAAGAGAAGCATGGGGCCATGATTGGACTATGATCTTGCCCCATGAAGATGAGATCATAATTATAAATAAAAAACTAACAGATGTTGAAAATAATTAGCTTATAATTGTATTGTTCTCCTGTTAAAGGTAAATGGCAATCTTGATATGATGATACGAATGAAATAAACACATGATTGGCTCAAGAAAGATGACTATCAAGAATAATATCTATCCTTAACTTCTTGACAATTGTTTTCATCATCAACTCTCCAATGGTGGTTGCATTGAAAATAAATCTTGACAAAGGAGATTCCTACATAATAGCAAAACCTATGCCCGAGGTATCCGACATGAGGTATGGAGCCACCAAAACCTCCATTCCTATTATCTACCTCCAAAAAAAATCAGCAGGTTCAACTTCAACCAATGTGTAGGACCTTATATATGTATATATACACAACGTGCAAATGAATTATGTGCTCATCCAAATTCCTATACAAATGCATCATCATCTTGAAAATCATAAAGAACATATTATGCATTATGCAAGTCATATAAAAAGTAGTAATAACTTGTGAATGCATTATGAGAAATGCACTCAAAAGCATGTTTTTGTATAGGCCCCGACGAGTATGTCATGCTCATATACGTGACATTTGAGGATGTTACAAGAACCAAAGAAATAATTAAGGAGTTTTCAAGCGTGCGAAATATATTTTATGAGTACACAAAAATGGCAAGTATATTACTTAAAATGAAATTTAAACACTCGTATGTGCTCCGACCACAATGCTCAATTTCCAAACCTGAGGTACGAGAATGCTGCGTGGGTCAAAAGTGAACTTAAGTTCAAGTCCGATCCTCTTCTTTGAATGGACCAAAGTTGACACGACTTGAACCAACAAACAAATACATGGTCATAGTGTCGATCAGAGTATTTTTTTATATGTTTATATTAGGCCTTTAAGGCTTCTTACGAGAAAAATTTATCACCAATATATAAAATCTCGAAATCAACACTCTTTGAATTAACAAAATATTTAATTTTATACGTTAATATTAGTCCTTCAATGCCTTTTATGAAGAAAATACATATATTAAAATACATACTCTTAGTTCCGATATTTCTATGATAACTCTATAAATTAGGAGCTAAACTCGGTTCTCCATTAGAAATAAAACACAGTTGACAATGTTCGACAAATGAAATGAAAATATCCAAAACCCCGATGATGGCATGTCTAAATCTAATCTTAACCAGAGGGGGTCATGCTTTTTAAATGCTTCCCAAACTCATGAAAATACAAATATTTAAAGTGATTTCAAAATCACTATGATAATGGTCATGTTGACAAAAAAATCTCAATCGAAGGGATCTCTATCTTTAAACGCTCATAAATCTCAAAATTTATCATTAAAGAGCTTTGATTTTAATAAAAGTTGAAAACTAAAAAATAACTAAAATTTTAGATATTAAAGATGAAGTAAATTAAAACAAAAATTCATCCACCCTCTATAATAGTTTGTCGATGTGAATAAATTTGAAAATCATCTATGCTCATCAAAAGAGCGAATGTCTAGTCGAGAATATCACTTGGATTCATAATCAAATAATCTCCTGTCAGTAAGAACATGTCACATGTCCTTTAATGGGTGATTTCGCCGCCAAATGACATCACAATTAAACAGTTATGACCATGGCCCTTTGACAAAATGATTTTGCCACTAAATGGTACTATTAAATTACGGTAATGGCCAAACTCGTATGTTCCCCAATGACTCTAAATTCTTTTGTAATGAATCAACATAATCTAATCGGTAAGGCACAAAGTCCTTTATTAGCTAGGATGGACTTAAATATGACCTCTTAGGCAAACATTAAACCCAAATATACATGATACCCTTGTACGAAGCAACCCATGACTGTCGACAATGATCCTTCAATCAGGTTGGGTCGACTACCTCCTTTGACTAAGTAGACTAGGGACCATTATGACTAGGGACGATGGGATCATGAGATCATGATCAGGTTTATCATCATTCCCCGCACCATCCGCTTTAAGTGTGTGATGATAACTTTCAAAATTTCAACATCTTATTCTACTGCTACTATTTGCTAGATACTACATATCTGTTCAACACTAGTCTTAACCTAAAGTTCTCTCTCGCTAACAGGAGGGATAATTACCTAAAGGGGCTTTTGCCAATAGAAAACCATAACTCATACCATAAAGCCCTCACAAAATGAGGGTGAAATCGTTGAGTACTGTCTTATCTAAAAACCCAATTTGCCTTTTGAAAATTTAACCCGGAACTGAAACTCGTTAAAACTCTCTTCGCCAACACATAAAGGAAAGGGTTTTGGGGCGTGAATTTTCGGAACCCACAGTAACAAAAATCAACCTAAACATCAATGTGCATTTCAGAATTACATCATAATTTTGAATGCGTAAATCACCCAAAAACATTTTTTACCATTCACCAAGATACAGATATAAAGAAATTCATGCTCAAGTAAACATTTAAAGAATGCACTGGAGCTCAAGGTCTCAAATTCAAGGTACAAATTTCATAAGTAGGAGAATATTAGCTCAAGCTTTTACGTTAAATGATTAAAAAAAATTAACATAATTGATCCAATTTGAGTTTTACTTGCTTCTTTAGGTATTGACTTCTTCGCTAACTGCAGTACACGAACAATACAAAAATCGGTTCAGGAAGAACCATATAATAACATCTAAAACTACTTTATATACATACACTGATGAACTTGATATACGATAGTGGAAAAATTGATCTTGCAAAGCCAACTCTAAGTCCTTCTTATCCACCGAGCCTATGCAAGTGGAACGATGGATTCAGTATCATCGTTCACTACTAGATCTATTGCTCAGAAGTGAATTCAAAGCTGTAACAGCTTGCACAATATTGTCGCCTTTGTTCAACATAATACAGCTTGCCCTGAAAAGTTTGCATGTTAAAAACATGATACTATTATGCTATAAATGCATCTATAAAGATTATAATAATATTACCCCATAGCTTTGAAGACATCCGTGATTTCAGCTCGAGTAGGAAAGCCAAATTTGACTAAGGATTCAAGAACCTGGGTTGCCCAGATTACAGGAATGTGTGCAGCACTGCAGATGGACAAGATCTCCTCTTGGATTTCACCCAACTGATCCCATCCACATTCTACCATAAGGTCACCTCTAGCAATCATTACTCCAAGAGGATTTGAGGATTGCATTGCTTGAAATAACAATGAAGGTAGCCTCTGCAAACTATCCTTGGTTTCAATCTTCAGTACAATCCCCAATTTTGTTAGATTTCTTTTCTCTAACTCATGTTGAACAATAACTATGTCATCGACATTTCGAATGAATGAAATGCCTACCATGTCGGCGTTAGAGCCAACAAAGTCGAGGTCGAGGAGATCTTTCGGAGTCAGGCCTTTAAGCTGCACCCTGCTCTTGGGAATGTTGATGGATTTGCCTGACCCAAGCTTAGAACCCTTGGGTCTAGCGTGAGTTACCACAACAGTTGCCCAATTAGCGTTCACTTCGCGTACCATAAGGATCTTTTTTTCTTGTATGTTAGTACATAGATTCATAAGGGTCCATTTTTGATGGGAGGCATAAGGGCTTTAGAGAAATTTGTTATTTTCTATTTTAGTATATATAATACTTGTTTATTTACTTTCCTTGCAATGTTATTTATTTGTTTTATAATTATAAGTATTATTCTGTTTAATAAAATAAATGATAATTAACTATTTTTAAACCCAGCTAAATGAATAATAAGTAAAATATTTGAAAATTTAGATTGATAGGTGTGACCTACTCAACTATGTTGGTTACATCTATTCAATATTCTATTGTAGGTTAGGGAAAGAAGAAAGGGCCCGTTGAGTAGCTAGGTATTCAGGATATGATTTGTCATAGTATTTATAAGTATTTTTCTAACTTTTGCACGATCATTTTTATTTGTTTAATTATTTTGTTTTAGTATGTTGTCATGTATTGTAGTGTAAATGTTGTTTATACATTTTGATGATGAAAGAAATGAAAATTTGGATGAGTTTATTTTCTAATTATTAGTAATTATCTCTATTATCCTTTTCAAATTTAAATTGAAGAAATCTGAAAATTTTCCTAAAACTTTGATCTTTGGCTTGGTCTGTTCCAATTCAATACGGAATAACTCATCGGTCTGTGAATCATATCAGGTTGGATTGTGATATTACCATCATAAAATTAACCAAAATATAGCTCACCTACATGGGTGAAAATATTTTCATTGTGCAATGAATTTTTAAAATAAAGCATAATATATGTGAAATTAAAAAATCTAAGCTAGGACAAAGTAGCATCAAAATTACATGTAATAATATAAAAATGGGAAATGCTATATTAAAATATGAAACATGTTTTAATTAAACTTTATTTAATACAAATTAAAAATGAGCTTGCGCCTTTGTTCTCCATTAGGCTTGACAGCTTTATTTGTTCAAGTTTTTTGGTGAGATATGAACTTTTATTTAATGCTATGCTTTTACACTTTGAATCACTTCCTATATCATCTCCTACACCTCATCTTAAACCTCCAAACACTATCTCTAGCCCCTACACCATCATGATATAAGTAATCCTAAAATTTACTACCTTTTGACCTCATTACCTTCTCCAAAACCTAATTAGGTTCCTTTATTTCTATAAGCATCTACAATTCTGACCTCCCCCTTAATAAACTATAGAACACTTATATATTAACCCTAAAAATTTCCATACATTTCACATAATAACCATATGTCTTCTCAAAATAATTTCAAGAACCGAAAACCTATAATGCCTCTTCTCTCTACTTCCCCACTAACCCTAGATTTGTCCCAATCCATCCCCTCTTAATTATTTGTTATACCATCACCTTAATCCCCTTAAACAACTCATTTTAATTCTCCAACAATTACTTTCACTTAGATTGGATTAATTTAGCCTAATTAAGTGGGTCTGATAAGGCTAAGTTATGTTGACCTTAAGTTTGGTCAATTGAAATCAAGTGGATCCCATAAAGCTTTTACTAGATATGTATGAGGTTTAGCAGTACTAGATAGGTTTAGGTCTCCATAGATCAGTCATAAATAAGTTCAAATTGAAGGTTTTAACCCTGGCTAACCGAGGTTTGACTATATGTTTTAGGTTGATTAAGGCTTAACTTCATGCGTCATGGTGGATTCCTAGGTCTTAGGGTAGCCATACTAAGGTTCATAGAATCCTAATGGGGTGATTTGAGCCTCCCAAAATGACTTAGCTTAGCTCTAAGTCAAATAAATTTAGCTAAGGTTTGATCATGTGCTAAATAGGTTAGTTTTTGTCTCCTTAGGGTTCATTATACCAAAATTGGTAGGCCTAGTTCAAATATAGGGGGTGTCTGCTCCTAGCATACATGTATTAGGGTGCTATAGGTTAAGGTGCAAAGATGAAGCGGTTATCAACATTATCAAATCAAAAGGGTAGGTTAAAATTGATAGAATACTCATTGTATTAGAGTGTACTTGGCTCAACATAGAAGTGTTAATGCAATGGATAGGATGCTGCAAGTTACTCTAGTGTTTGTGCTATATTAACTATGTTAAGGCATAAATAAGGTCTAGCTTAAATATTTAAGCTTGAGAAAACAAATCCTAAGTTCAACTAAGGGTAAGTATTTAGTAGGCCATGTCAAATAAGGTTAAACTAGCTAGATTACCATTGATATTAAGAAATATTTGACTTTACTCAACAAGGAGATTTGCAAAATCAAATTGAATATATTACTCAAGATATTAAGGTGTATTTTTTTTAACCAAACAAGAGATAGAGGTTTAAGATTATATAATTATACTAATATCAATGCACACTAAATGTACTAAAAGTGAGATTAATAATGATGATTATGATAATTAATTTATGTTTTCAATATATTCCTATGAGTTAAATATGTATTATATGCTTTAGTTAACATGGCAAGTGATGATGTAACATGCTATCATGAAAGGTTTATATTTAGTTAGTAAGATGGATAATGATTAAAATAACCTAAATGAGATTGATAGCCTCATGATTGGACTATGGTTATACCCAATGATGACTATCTCATAGTTGGGCTTAAAAACTTGGGTATATTGAAAATGATTAACATATAGTTGGATTATAATCTATTAAGGAAAGGTGATAACCTTAATATGACAATATACATTAAAAGCCACATTTATAATTTATTAAGACTAACTTATGTATGTATAATGGATAGCCTATATTATTTTCTTATATATTTATGATTGATTTTCATGAACCATGCATATTGATTCCAATTTTATTGAGTGCTGCTTATGTTAGACTTAGTGTTATCAACATCTTCAACCTTATCAACTCATAATTCTAGGCTAAAATGGATAGGATACTCAATATATGAAGTATATTAGGCTTAACTTAGTAGAGATAACGCCATGAATAGGATCACCCAAGTCAATTTAATGTATATGCTAAATTAACTAGGTCAAGGCATAGATAAGGTCTTGCTCAAATATTTGAGCAAAAGAAAATAGATTCCAAGCATAACTAGGGTGAGTGCTTAATAGACTAGGAAAACAAGGCCAGGCTAAGTATAATATCTTTGGTATTGATGAAGATTTTGCTATGCACAACAAGAAGATTTGCAAGATTAAATAAAATAGAATATTCAAGGTACTAAGAGATATTTGATGTGTCCTAGTAAGAGATAAAAGTTTAAGATTTAAGTAAAAAAATACTCTCAATGCATATCAAATGTAATAAAAGTGATTTCAACAATTACGAATATGTAACTAATTAATGATTTCATGTATTCTTAGGCGTTACACATAAAATGCATATTTATGTTACCATGTGAAAGTGATAATTTTAACCTATATGTATGATACTTGAAAGGAATGCTACAATGGTTATATGGTACCATAAAATGTTAACATGTAAGTAAGAAAGATGTCTCACAATTGGATTAATTCATGACTCAAGAGAGAAACATGAGGCCATGATTGGACTATGATCTTGCCCCATGAAGATAAGATCATATTTGGAATTAGAAAATTAAGAAGTGTTGAAAATAATTAGCTTATAATTGGATTGTTCTCCATTTAAAGATAAATGACAGTCTTGATATGATGATATGAATGAAATAAGCACATGATTGGCTCAAGAAACATGACCAAGCTGACCCTCAAGACTAATATCTACCCTCAGCTTCATCACAATTGCTTTCATCCATCAACTCTGTAATGGTGGTTGAATCGATAATAAACCTTGAACAAAGGGGATCCCTACCTACTAGCAAAACATATGCCCGAGGGTCAACCCGATCCTTTGTTGGAAAGAAAACATAGTTGACAATGTTCGACTAATGACATGAAAATATCCAAAACCCTTATGATGGCTATGTTGAAAGCTAATCTCAACCGGAGAAGATTATGCTTTTTAAATGCTTCCCAAACTCATAAAAATACAAACAATGAAAGTGATTTCAAAATCACCCAAATGATGACCATGTTGACAAAAAATCTCAACTGAAGGGGTCTCCATCGTTAAACGCCCATAAATCTCAAAATTTATCATTAAAGAGTTTTAATTTTAATAAAAGTTTAAAACTAAAAAATCACTAAAATTTAAGATATTCAAGATGAAATAAATCACTTAATAATTTAAAGTAAAAAATTCATCAACCTTCTACAACAGTTTGTCTAGGTGGATAAATTTGGAAACCATCTCAGCAGAGTGAATGTCTAGGTGAATGTCTAGCATAAAATATCACTATGATTTATTATCAAATCATCTCCTGTCAGTAAGGATATGACACATGTTCTCTAATAAGTGGTTTCACTATCAAATTGCACTACAGGTAAACAGTTATGACCAGGGCCCTCTAACCAAGTGATTTTGCCACCAAATTGTATTACTAAATTATGGTAATGGCCAGAGCTTGTATGTTCCCCAATGACTCTAAATTCTTGTTCATGTATTTTTTTTAAATTTTATCTAAGTTTTAAAAATCCCGCCTAATTTTTCAAATTTTTAAAAATCCCGCCTAAATTTAAAAATTCCCTCCCATGGCTGTCAAGCCGGCTCGAGCTAGTTTACAGTTAAATGAGCTCGAGTTCGAGCTCGCTTTCCATGTAACGAGCCGAGCTCGATAAGGATATAAACTCGACCGACTCAACTCGTTTACACCTCTAAAGCAACCCATGACTACCGACAATGATCCATATGTTAGGTTGGGTCAACTATCTCCTCTAATTAAGTAATCTAGGGACCATGATGGTCTGGGATGACGAAACTATGGGATCTTGATTGGGTTTATCATCACTCCCCCACCCATCCGCTTTAAGTGTGGGAAGATAAATTTCAATTTTTCAATATATATTTCTACTGCTACTATTCGCTAGATACTATATATCTATTCAACGCTAGCCTTAAAAAAAAATTTTCTCTCGTTAACGACAGGGATAATTAACTAAAGGGGCTTGCGCCTATAGAAAACCAGAACTCATATCATAAAACCCTTGCAAAATTAGGGCGGGGTCTTATCTAAAAATCCAATGTCTTCTAAAAATTTACCCCGGAACTGAAACTCATTAAAACTCTTCCCGCTGACACAAAAAAAAAAAGGTTGCGAAGAAACTGGGTCGTGATTTTTTGGAACCCATAGTAACAAAAATCAACCTAAACCACAATGAGCACATCATAATTTTGAATGCGTAAATCACCCAAAAACATTTTTTGCCATACACCAAGATAAAGATATAAAGAAGTTCTTGCTCAAGTAAACATATACAAAATATCATTGGAGCTCAAGGTCTCAAATTCAAAGCACAAATTTCATAAATAGGAGAATATAAGCTCAAGCTTTTACATTAAATGATTAAAAAATTAACATAATTGATCCAATTTGAATTTTACTAGCTTCTTTAGGTATTGAATTCTTCGGTAACTGCAAAAACCTAAACAATACAAAATCGGTTCAGGAAGAACCATATAGGTTAATATTACTGACATCTAAAACTACTCTATATACACACACTGATGAACTTAATATAGGATAGTGGAAAAATTGATCTTGCAAAGGCAACTCTAAGGCCTTCTTATCCAACGAGTCTATGCAAGTGGAACGATGGATTCAGTATCATCGTTCACTACTAGATCTATTGCTCAGAAGAGAATTCAAAGCTGTAACAGCTTGCACAATATTGTCTCCTTTGTTCAACATAATACAGCTTGCCCTGAAAAGTTTGCATGTTAAAAACATGATTACTATTATGCTATAAATGCATCTATAAAGATTATAATAATATTACCCCATAGCTTTGAAGACATCCGTGATTTCAGCTCGAGTAGGAAAGCCAAATTTGACTAAGGATTCAAGAACCTGGGTTGCCCAGATTACAGGAATGTGTGCAGCACTGCAGATGGACAAGATCTCCTCTTGGATTTCACCCAACTGATCCCATCCACATTCTACCATAAGGTCACCTCTAGCAATCATTACTCCAAGAGGATTTGAGGTTTGCATTGCTTGAAATAACAATGAAGGTAGCCTCTGCAAACTATCCTTGGTTTCAATCTTCAGTACAATCCCCAATTTTGTTAGATTTCTTTTCTCTAACTCATGTTGAACAATAACTATGTCATCGACATTTCGAATGAATGAAATGCCTACCATGTCGGCGTTAGAGCCAACAAAGTCGAGGTCGAGGAGATCTTTCGGAGTCAGGCCTTTAAGCTGCACCCTGCTCTTGGGAATGTTGATGGATTTGCCTGACCCAAGCTTAGAACCCTTGGGTCTAGCGTGAGTTACCACAACAGTTGCCCAATTAGCGTTCACTTCGCGTACCTTCCCCAAAATCTTTCCATCATCGAATAAAATGGGCTCACCTTGTTCGACAGATTCGAAAATATGATCAGAAGAACAAGTTATCTTCGTTGAACCCAATGTTGTGCTACTCAATTCATTGAGATAAGAGGAAGAGCTTCTAAAAATAGTAAGCAGATCTCCTACTTTTAATCTAACAAAATGTTGATTAGCTAGAACCTTTATTACCCTTCCAACAAATTCTCCTTTCTTTTTCTTTACAGACAATTCTGTGTCCACTTTTATATATGCAGTTTGCAAACACTCTGCAATGCAACCATACTCAGTAGACAGAATAGACTTCTTCAAAACTTTTAACACCCGCTTTCTACCTCTAACATCAACGAAGCTCACATAATCACCCATTTTGAGCTTATTGAAAAAGCTCTTCTGTATCCAAATAATTGCATTCGTAGATAGACCAGCAGGAGGATTACTTCCATCAAAGCACAACCAAACCTGAGCTGGGAAGACCACATTACCAGAAGAATCCTTCTTTGGGGACAGTTTAACCATATTTGAATGTGTTCTCAATAAGACAGTTCTGAGCTTTGGCCCAGCAAGGTCCATGAGAATACGGCATGGCTTTTCCAACAAGTGGGAGTTGTGTTTCACTATTCTAATAATCTCTCTCCACACATTCGGGTCATCATGCGCACAGTTGATGCGAATTACGTTTGTTCCAGCTTTGAGAAGATTCTTTACAAGTATTTCATCTTTTACAACTTCTTTTCCAATGGTAACCATGATTTGTCCTGTTCGCTTATCGAGGCATTCGCCAAACAATGCTGTATTATGAACGGATACCCTTTTCTTCATGGTACTAATGGCGAAGTTTACCGCATTTTCACTTCTCTCTGTAGGACTATAACCATTCCTATCCAGATAGGTTGCAGAATCTTTGCTTTCAAGAGAATTTGATAACAGGTGATGCAGTAGCTGAATGCTTGTACCAATACTTGCAAGAACATGGGAGTTTATAAATTCCAGGGTTAGAAGGCCAATGGAAGAGAGATCTTCTTGAAGTTGCTGGAGGTGAAGACATTTTAAGGCCAAGTAATGGGTCAAGTTTGTTGCACTGACGACATAATTTCTGTTATCAAAGTTAAAACATACAAGAAATGACTACAAGAATTATGGTTAACGTTTGTATATTTTTGACAGGTAGAATAACGGTGCAAATTCAAATCAATTACCTGTGGCATAGCCTGAGATGAGAAGCATTCCAATGTTCTGCAGCTAATAAATGCAGATGCACAGCTTTCAACTTCTCAAGAAGGCTAAGTAAACGATTTGTTGGGAGTTCAGGAAGACAATGCCCATAAGAAGGAATCAATTCTGAAACTTCAACTGATCCACGACCTGATTTATCAGGTTGAGCATAAGCATTTCCTTCATTTAGATTCATTGCCAAGGTCCGATTAACGGCATTTAGGGTATCATGGAATGCATACATCTTCCAACTATTGCATTCAGGATCATCTTCCTCAGGTAACTTGGCAAGCAATATAGGATACTTTTTTATTGATTTTATTGGAAACTGCACGTGGCTGCAACATTGCTTACTTGCAATTAAATGAAATTTGTATGTTGAAGGAAGCTGTCCCTGTAGTTTCAAAGATGTCATACCTGGCCAAAGAATGTTAATTAATCCCTGAAAATCAGTATATTTATTGTTCAACATCACATGGAAGCTGTTTTTGACAAGCATTAAAGAACCTCAAGAACACTCTCTCAAATTATTTAAATTCACTTTAGGAAATAGTGCTAGCTGTACGTGTTTCTCATTAAAGCATATTTCTCAGATTGATCTATTGAATATTAATAGTAGAATACAGGAAATGAGAACAACAAAATAAAAGAATTTTCTGGCTACTTTTTTTTTGTCTATTTCCCAATAATAATTGAGATGCACACCTTCCTAGGTGAAAGTGAAAAATAAGAAATTGTGAAATTAAGGCTTCGTTTGAGACGGCTATCTTACTACTTTTTAAAGCGGCTTTCTAGCACAAAAATTAAAGTTTTAATACTAAAAAGCTGCTTTAAGAAGCAATAAGAAAGCCGTTCAAACGAAGTCTAAGAGACATTCTCATAATCACATTATTAGTTGATCGGCTGATAGTGATGTTATTAAGGTTCATTTTGAATTTTCATTAAAAGTGAATCGTGACTGGTCAAAAAACACTAAAAATGATGGGATATCTTCCATTATCACCACTTGATCCATATGGTTTAATGTTTCATGTAATCCAAACAAAATAAGTTTGGGTGAGTAAAATGCTAGCAAAGGTCAAAAAAGGTGGCCGTTATTGGTCCTAGCTCAAGTTCATTATTGGTTTACCAAATTCAGATATCAAACACATAAGAACTCACGTGTAAACTTTATTTAAAAAACTTGCCTTATCTATATCCAAAATGCATGAAAAGATAACAACTTCCAAATTAAGTAAATATAAAATAATATTTACATGTTATGCTTCAACATATAAATACAATTTCAAAGTTTCACCTAAAAAAACTAAAAATATATCAACTAAAATAATTATATGTTTAATTATCATCTCTTGTTCATAGGTGATACAAATTTATAATTTATCATCATAACATTTTTTTAATAGATGAACCACATCATTTTGAGCTTCAAGTCGAGGCCTAAATTAATTTTTGTCATCTCCAATAATTGTTTGGAACATATTTCGAACTTTTAAAGCTTTTTTATTAGCTAATTACATAAACATAGTGTTTCACTAATTTCAAGTGCACAAATAACAGTGTCATGCAATTTAAGAATCTATACTTTTGGTCACCAATCTAAAAATAAAATTGTAAAATAAGAATATGTTTACATTCCTTGTTCTGGTAATATAATTTTCTGACTGTGCTGGAAGTTTTAATGAAGAATTAAAAATGATTTAAAAACAGACACATCAATCTCTATTTAATGCCAGTCCTCTATTTTGTCAACAAAGAGCAAGAGTCAAGGTTCAACTGGGGTGGGTCGAAGGCTAAGGCCAAAGCCAATTGGAAGTTGATCATGGTGAAACATGATATTTCACCATACAATGAACTGAAATGAGTAAAAGCTCAAAATAGTCTCCTGACTGTTGATAAATGTTCAATTTTTCACATTGCTCCAATTTAGTCTATCAACTACTAAAAACTGAGTCAATTTAGTCCTAAAGCTTAAAATAAAAATTAAAGTTAACTCCAAAGTTAAATATGAAGGATATTTTAGGTAGTACAAATGGATATGAGATTACATTTCTTATATTACACAATTTTATCATTTAATAAATTATAATATATGTTTAATCTACTACATAATAAGGGTGAATAAAAAGTGGAAAAAAATATATATATTTTTAAAGCAAAATCTAATATGATAAAAATTACAATTTCATATCATTTAACTATAAAAAAAACTTTGCAAGTCAATTTCATATCATTTAGTTCATTAACAAATCAAATTTAAATTATGTTTTAATTTTAATTTATATTTAAAATAAAAGTTATTTATTAATTCTAATATTAATTATCCAGGTTTTAAAAACCGGACCGGACCGGCCGGTTCAACCGGTTCAACCGTGAACCGGCCAGTTGTCCGATCCGGTCCAGTTCAAAAACCGGCTTCGCAGAGAACCGGCCTGAACCGGACTGAACCGGCGGTTCAACCGGTAAACCGGCGAACCGGTCCGGGTTTGAAAGAACCGGCCCTTGAACCTCTCCTTCTTCCGATTCTTTGTTCGGTCTGGTTTTCACAACCTTGTTAATTATTGTCAATAATTAATATTTACAAAAAATATATAATTAGAAAATAATTTAATTATGAAATAACTTATTAATCTTAATTTTGATTATATTTTAATTATTAATGAGTTAATTACTAATTATTAATTATTATTATTATTATTAACTAACCATTATAAATAATATATTTTAAATCAAAGTTAATTATCAATTAATCTAGGTAACCAATTCTTTATTAATTACATCATATTCAAAATTAATTTTAATTAAAATAGTTAAACTAAATTAATTTGTTCCTATGTTATATTTCTCTCACAATGCATGTTCTGCTATCTAGCTATAGCCGTAGGTTTGCCTTTTCTCTTCTGGAGCTGTTCATTGCTCTTCGACTTCGTCTACTTCACGTGAAAGCTACAATTTTGAACTAAATATCTTCTTCACCTCCTTTGACGACATTCCTTCCTATCGCAAAGCAACATCTCCTCCCCATTCTTCTGTAGGATTAGAAGTAATGACAGGAGCTTGCTCATTGTGAAGGTAGCCATCTTTATTCCTATATCCAAAAAGCCCCACAAGGTGCCTTGCTCATGGTGCATTGTCTGTCTCGCAGTCACACGTGAATCAAAAATGTGAATCGAAGCATGCCTTGCTTGTTCGTGTCAGCCTGGGTCGCTTGCATCTCGTTCTACCAGCTTCACCTCGCACAATCAATCTCTAGGGAGTATAGCGGGATGGCGTCGAGCAAGTAACAAGTCATTTTACCTAAATGTCCACAAAGAAGCAAATCTCTCGAGCTTTTTCCATTAATTTAAATGACAAATCATTCCCAGGGACTAAAATGACAAATTTTTAATAGTTGAGAGACCAAATTGGAGCAATACAAAAATCTGAGACTAATTTGAACATTTATTAATAGTTGGGGGACTATTTGGAGCTTTTACCCAACTCAAATTATCTGCTTCTTGCATCACTGTTGTGGCATTTCTTCCGCAAGATCCTAGTAAGTAAGTCCTCTTCTTAATCTTCCTCCTCCTCTACTTCTTTTTGCGATCCGATTATAGGCTAAATTGAGAACGCTAAACTTTTTGAGGTTAAGAGATCCTGGAGTAATGTTAACTACAAAGACAACGGATTTAAATATTTATGTGTATAAATAATCATTAACATGTTAATCATCATAGCGATTACTCCCAAATTTAAAGTACATGCTTATGCAGTTGTCCGATAAATTGACAAATCCAATGGTTTTCTGCTTACACTACAATCACTTTACTTATTGTGGAACTATTGCTATTCACTGTATTTTTTAAAACCTTTGTTCATTCTATGTTGGCACAAGACCATAATAGCATCTAGTAACTACTAACTAGGGCTGCATTAATTCTCTGCTATCAGATTTTAAATAGTGCTCTCCGTTTGTTGTGCAACTAATTGCTTTTAGCCTTTAACCAGAGTATAACGTTAGAGTATTAGATCATTGAAATACCCATGTTTAGCTACATAATGATTCTTTTTCTTCATACTTTCATCCTCGTCATATTTGATTTTTTTTTATTCATATAAGTTAAGATTATTAAGACAATCAAAGGTACATTACTTTGGGCCCAAGTCCAAATGAGAAAACATTGAAGAGAATTTTTAAAAGAAATTAATTTGAGCTCCCGCTATAAAAATTTTCTAACTCCCCCATTGACTACTACTAATCATTTTTCTCAAATATATATTATAGCAATTCCATTATAGTATCTTCAAATTTTACTTTCAAACTAGCTTCTAATCCAACTAGAGGAGAATAAGCACTAACCATATCTATAATTTTCTTACTGATAATTATCTTAGTAGAACCTTATTACCAACCCTACTCGCTTCAAAAATTATATGCATATTAATCAAAACTTGTGTATTTTTCATCAAAATAAAGTTAAGTTGTAGCATAACACCTATAGGTAATGTCTTAGCAGAATATTACCTATTTTTAGTTAATATTGGGTTTGGTTGTGACGGGAGGCTTGATAGAACACCTAACCACTAAAAAAAATTAAATTTGAATTCATTTCATATGCTTTGGCATAATTTTTATAATTCTATCGCCCTAATAATAACCTACGGTCTTCCTACTTCTAAATTGAGATTAGCCATGATGATTTTGTAGAGTGTTAGATGAAGAGTGAAGTCAATTTAATGTAAATCTTTTTGCATAATTTATAATCATATTAGCTTTGGCCTAGCCATTTTTCTTCCCAATCCTCATTATTAAGTTTATCTATGCATATTATTTGTGCTTCTTCAATTGATGTCATGCCAAAGCCACCTATATCCCTTTTTAACTATCTTATCTTCAATACCCTATTTGCACTCATTTCCCATCAACTTCACACATTGCCACATTTTTTTTGGATTACTTACCCTATTCTTTTCTCCATTTATTCAAGTGCAACACATAATTTTTATTAGTCTCCTATACGTGAACAATGAATCACACCTTTAATTTTGTATGGCTTTTATTTTAACTTGTAATCATGCAATCTTTATTTATAACTTTAGTTTATTTTAAGCTTATATTCTTATTAGAAGATTCTTCATTCTAGAGAGGGGTCAAATACTTTGCTTCACGCTCTTGCTTTTAATAATATTGATTAACACTATCAATTTTGCCACATTAAAATTGGCTAGCAATGACTTTTTTATTGTCAACACTTAAATCAATATAGGCTAGTTGGTCTACTTACAACTTTATAATATTTTCTTTAAAGTTTGCAATGATATTCTCTTATTATGTAGTACTCCTAAAACACTTTTTCTTTCTAAACAACCTAATATTAACATAAAAGTTATATCTTCATCTATGCCTTCATTCTAATACATAATAGATCAAATAAATTTAAACTTATTATACCTAGATATTAGTTGATCATCAACGACATTGCTAGGCAATTATCAATTTCACACAAACCAATATAGCATATCATACACTTTATCTTTAATTTGCAAATTATTAGCTAATTTTCTTATAATTCCTCAAGTGGTATAACTTTTCACCTATCATAGCAAAATGTCATTATATCATTTATAACGATAGCATGCATCAAAATGCCTTCTATATCCTTAACCAACATAAATGATACTGAATTCCATTTTTTCCTGAACAAAAGATATGAAATTAATGTTGACCTTAATATTCTATTTGAGCTTAGAACTCTTTGGGCGCTCCAAGACAACTTCTATTGTTAGTAAATATTTGTATCCTAGATCTATAAATTTAACTTAGACTAGTTGCCACTAAAGCTATAGGTAAGCTACATTCTCAAATTCAAATGTGAATGCATAGATCCCTAGCTTTCAAATATTTAACTAAAAATCAAATTTAAATAAGAAGTTAGACATGTAAGAGTAAAGAACAGTAGGATTTTTATTTTTTTCAATTAAGTGTTTTCAAAAACTTTAAAAGATTCTGATCCATTTTGATCCCTTAAAGATAGAAGCAAATTTTGCCCTCTTAAACAATTATATATGTCCATCAATGTCTTATTATCAATATAAATTACAGTATATAATTTACCAACTAATTTCATTTCACTAATGTCATGTTAGCCACTCAAATCTAATATCAATGATATAAAAATTAGTTCAATCAATTATTTCAAAGTATTTAAAATTAATACCCAAACCATGAAAAATAATGGAGATGGAGACTGACAAAAGTACAGAAACAACAAAATTGGAACTGAGCACAGAAGTTCAAAGCCTTGGTCCAAAAAATTGTTACCTTATTCACACTTTACCAACAACTATAAGGAGTCTCAGAAAACAAATTCATCTAAATCTATGCAAACATTAAAAGTACTCGGTAATCACTCAAAAGCACCTATAGATATCAAACATATCAAATTAACTTTTTTTTTAATCACTAAACAGCACGCATCATCATAGCAAAGACGGTTCTATACTCAAATTGCGCAGTTCAATAATCCTTTCAGAATAAAAATCACTTTCTAAACTTGCAATAAATAAGAATTGAGCAAACCATCCCTGACAAAAATCATAATATTGGAATATAGAAAGACAAAAGAAATCCCATTACCAACACCTCTTTTGCGATACCCTCCAGCAGCATGATTGGAGGACTTGCCCACCATTTTCCATATATATTTCTTTCACAGGCTCTCTTGGACAATTCTAAAAACCCTAACCAACGTTTTTTATTCAGAAAGCAAAGAAAACGAGAGAAACAAACACCAGGAAATGCAGGACATTTCTCGTCCTTCTCTCTGTTCCTGGAAGAACAGCAGTGGAACGGCGTCAGCTCTTCGTGCTTCCGCCGTCTACCACTCTCTTTCCTGGAGATTCCTATGGAAGCGTTTTCAACGCTAGCTCCTGATTCCTGGAAATGCATTATGCCAAGTTACGGATTCTTGAATCTACAGGTTTCTATGCAGGAGAACAATCTGGAAAAGCGCAGTGGAAGCTGCTCAGCACCATCGTCCCTTGTCCCGCCATGAGAGGCTAAAAGGGCATGCCGTTGCAAGTACCATAGATTTCCCTCCGCCATGAAAGGTTAGAGGGCTGAGTTAACTTTGTTAATAATGACTATGAAATTTAATAATAACATAAATTTAATGACTTCAATATTGAAAAAAACATTATGGCACTTAATGGAATTCAATTGGGAAAATTTTAAGACTAAGCATGATTATAAATTATATTAAGAGCTTAAGAATGTTTTAAAAAAAATTTAAAAATAGGCAAAGTCGCCCGTTAAAAGGGCGACTTATGCTTTGACTAGAATAGTCAAGATCCGACGTGGTGATGATGTGGCGAGATTAAATTGCTCGTTTAACGGGCGACTTATAAGTCGCCCGTTAAACG